ATCTAAGGACAAACATTTCAGCTTACTCTAGATATCTAAGGCAGTAACTCACAAGTTTGGCCTTGAGCTCATTAAGCAGTGACATTTGTCTTAACAAAAGAGGAGGCTCTACCTTTTATCACAAGCCTCCTGAAACAGGCAGAAAGCTTCCCTTGCACCTAAACAACATTCCAATAAACCAGAGTGAGCTTTTACTGACTTGGCTGAAGTCTCTCTGGTTATTTGTCTCAAGCTTGGTATTGGTTATTAACTTCACTGTGCACGTTACCCTCACAGCTCAGGATGCAAAGAGGGAAACAGCTGCACTTGGCTTGCAAGATAATTTGCAAAAGGCAAAGTTTAATGAAAAAAATGAAACCAAATTGCCAGTGTAACCAAAAGTGTAAGCAGTGCCCAATGCCAGTTATTGCTGCCTTCTTTTCAGTACCTTCAGCACCACTACGTTTCTTGCTATTCTCCTTGGATATGAATTTAACATGCTCTGTACTTGTGTTGGAGATATGCTAATGAAAAACAGCATGTATGAAATGCTTTGATAACAAAAGCTAGTTTAAATTTTCTGAAGTTATTAAAAAAGAGGAAAGATTTGGTAAAAAGTAAAATCAAATGGAAAAAGTACAAATAGATTTTTATTGACCAACTTAAAATGCATCAGTGATAAGAGAGGAAAAAGAGAAAAAAAGCAAAACAAAAAGTCACAATGCCAGAAACAGCAAATAAGAGAAGAGGTACAATAAAGTAACAGCAGCTCAAGAGAGAAAGAAAAGAAATTGGCAATTTCAGGCTATGATACAGATAAAGAGCTGGAGACTAAAGAAAACAGAAGAGGAATGAAAACATGGGAGTGAGAGGAAGAAAAAAGAGCAAGAGAAGTCCTTTCTAAAAGTGAGTGGAAGGGACCCCAGTGTTCTTACCTGCTCTGCAAGTTCAATTTATCTTTCATTTCCCTTACCATCTTTTTTAACTACTCAAAATATTCCCTGCTCCAGCTCTCTGATCATCCTGCTGCTTAGAGCCACTAAGTTTCCAAGAGCTGAAGGGATTCTTATGGTGGCTGCTCCCCAAAAGCTATTCCAAGCTGCATTCTGAGCACACACATCCCACAACCTCTTTCTGGCTGTTGAAATGCAAAGGGACACAGGGGTATGGGGGAGGGAGAACTTAGAAATAAAAATTAGTAAGGAATATAGGTGAAATCTGAACTCCCATATATCCATTTCCTAAAGAACAGCTTCAGTACCCATCCACAAGCACTGCTGCTGGTTAACATGACATTGACCTGCTTCCAAGGCATTAAGCATTCCAGTTCCATACAAACAGATAGGGAGACACATGAGCATGTATAGTGAGGGTTCAGACACCTAGCAAATGAACAAGAACACTCCCTCTGCAAAAGTAAAAATTATCCATGGCTAGATTTTAGGAACAGCCACCCTGGTCCCCCACGTGAGCTCCAATGACAGCACAGCAGAAAGGGCTGGACAACAAGAACAAGACAGGTCAGTATTTCAGAAAGGGAGAGGGAAAATCTCATTATCTTATACCTGCCTGGAAAATGTTTGTGGAAATACAGCATCTGATCATTTAGGATTTGGCAACCTACTCATGCTTTCATACCACTGAATAAATCTTTAGAAGACAATTAACAGCATTCCAAAGGAACAGTAACTACAACAGAGTGAAAAAGCATGTTGAGAGCCAGAGTTACTGTCTCTCAATTTGGCCTTTAATTCACCAGACTAGAGAAGATCCCAGACCTCCAGAACATGAGGCTTTGATACAGCCTGAGCTCTACAGCACCAGTACAAAGCAGAAGAAACCCTGCCAGTGTCAATTCTTTCATTACTGATGGAATCAGTCATGAAGTGCTTTAAATTGCTCACTTCCCTCCCTAAATCCTTCATGTTATGGGATCTCTTTGGCAACTTGAACAAATGGCTTGCTTTAAGATGCTGTGGAAGATTTATGTGTTTGTGTGTTTTCTAAACGTTTATTTCTAAATGCTTTAACCCTCCTCATCACTAGAGTAAGGCTACAGCATCTGGTGTTCATTAAAACCAGGAAATTCCTGTTTTGCCCTTATGAAACTGTTGAGAGTTGATAATAGTTTTTTCAATTTAGCTTCGTGATGATGTGTTTTAGAAAATACATTAAATAATGAATTTGAATTAGGAAATTCTTAAAATCTGCTTATGCTAAATTCAGACATTAGTCTTTTGCAATTCAAAAACCCCATCAGAAAATATTTATCAAGTGTAAGTTAATGAATTACCATTATGATACTTAAAATATAGAATTTTGGACTCATCAATTTAAAAGTTGTAATTAATATAAGAGAAAAGAAATAATACAGAGGTTCACAAGTCATCTACTCTTGGTGCTTCAGCTTCACTGTAGCACGTTTTTTTCTAAAAGATCACGAAAGGATTCTGGATCTTGTAGAGAACTTATTCCTTATCCTTACTGAATCTTACCATGTACACCTTGGCTGTAAATTTCAATGTCTTTGTGTTTCAATTCAAAACAAAACATGGCTTGTTCTTATTGATTTAGTATCAGTAGTGTCTAATTAAAATTGTCACCAGCAGTGAGAAGAATGATATCATTGAGCCCCGAGTGCTTCATGACAGACTGACCAATATCACAGGAAGAAAAGCAACGTTTTCCTAACGACTGTTTTTCCCCTATATTGGGAAGAAAGCTGTGAATGACCTAAGGCCACAACACACAGGATGTGAAGCTGCTGAAACCACAAGCAGATTGTGTTGCAGAACTATAAAAAAACCCTAGGATGTGTGGGTGATGCCTGGGTGCAGCGTGGGGCTGGGGTAAAGCACGGTCCATAGCTGCTGCTCCCTCATCACTGACTCAGGCTCAGCTCCAGCCAAGGAGGCAGGCAGGGGTAAAGCACTGTCCATAGCTGCTGCTCCCTCATCAATGACTCAGGCTCAGCTCCAGCCAAGGAGGCAGGCAGGCAGACCATGTTCTGAGTTCCAGGCCCTGGGGAGCCAGCCAGTTGTTTGTTGCAGACTCTCCTCTCAATCACAAAATGTCATTAAGTGAAGCTAAGAGTATGTTAAACACTTGGAATATTTACCCCTATATAAACAGCTGCTGTAGCTGCAAATGCAAAGTCACAGCATTGCAAACAATTGGTATTAAGTGTAAACAGAACATATAAACTGCACCTTATTTCACAAGAAATAGGAACCTCAGGGTTCAGGGGTTCTTTGTACACATGCTGTAATTTACCATCTTAGGTGTATATACACACAACCCAGCACACCAGAGGTGGCCAGAGAGCACAAGTCCTAACTCTAGAGCCACCCTGAAATCCACAGGCATTTGAAATACTTTTTTTAATAGTTTAGCATATTGCTAAAATGTCTTGTTTACAGCCCATCACTATCTCACTATCTGAGGTTTCTTTTGGCACGAGGACTTTGCAGAATAATCATTCCCACTGCAGATTCACTCAGTATGCCCAGCTGGAATATGTGCTCCCTTTCCTCAATTTTTACTGTTATCAGCCCATAACTCTTTTAGCTGTTTTATTTCCCATGGTACTCAAATTCATTCTATGCATTGATAGAGCTTCACCACATGATCTTCTACTTGAGGTCACTAATAAAGAGGTTAAATTAATTTAATTTAAAGCTGCATCTCCAAGTACCAATGCAGAAACCCAACCAACCACCTCTCTTACCCCTCTTTTTTTGCCTTTCATTCATGCTTTTCATCTTCAGAACTAAACCCCCTTAAATTAGGGGGAAAAAAGTTAGAGGTACCATTTCATCTTTTCTGTGCTCAGAAGAAAAACGAATTCCTGTGCCTCAGCTTGCTGAGGAGTGTCAGGTGTGCATCAATTCCCAGCACCCGAGGAGAGGGTACACAGAACTCCCAGGTTTGCACAGAGACCTTGTCACTCCTGCATTACTATCAATGTTAGTTCCACACATTAATGCCTACATACAGAACACCTGCATTTTCCCCAGTCTTAATTCCTTCCCCATTTAAGCAAGATTCTTTTTCCATGCAAGTGGGGAAAAGAAAAAATGACATCAATTTGGACTTTACCACCATGTGGGAAAGTATCTCAGAAACAATCTCACTTCACACCATAAAAATTTTATTAATCCTGCACCTTTCTAAGAAGGTCATTTTTCTTCCCAAGAGATGTTATTAATTTACTAAGGTTAGCCCACACCTCAACCTTTACATTCTATATATAACATGGAGAAAAATTATCTGAAGTTCATTTTCTTGGTTTTTAAATATGTATCAGCCTGGACAGAAATGCATGCAGTGTTCCCAATTCCATTTTTTGTGAAGAAGAGAAATTAAGTGTTGCTTTCAACCAGTCACAGCTATGACTCCTTATGAACAGAACAAGAAGGTTTATTTTCAAGAGAGATGTCCAGACTGTATACTTAGCTCACACTAATAGGCTGGGCTTCCAAAAGAAACAATTTAAAACACAATACTGGTCATTCCTAAGAAACAGCTCCACTTAGGTTTCTTAGAGAACCCAAAAATGTGTGCAGGCTGTCCCTGTCAGGGACACAATGAGTATTTACTGTTCTGCTGGGCTTGGCCAACACTCATCTTTGTACTCTACAGAAACAAACACAAAACCCCACAAAACACCCACTCATCTAAAATGTTACCAGAAACACTGGCTTTGGCTGCTGTAAAATAAAGAAACTGTTCTGATTAGATACAGAATCATACAGCAGAAGTCACACATGCTTAATACAACAGTTTTGATTAAATAAATACTCCCAGAATTGCAAGCTCCTTAAAATGGGTTGCTGTATCAAATACCTATATAAAGTCAAGATAATGTCAAACCAAAATTTTTATAAGAAATGGCAGACTGAAATGGAAATACTTCAGGTGACCAGTACTGATGTGTGACTCTGAAAATCCAACTCTTTATTCTGTGGTTTTTACTATGCTAACAACAAATCCCACCCCATAACAAGAACAAAATAAAATACCTTTTTTCGATTTAGCTCCAATCTTCAACTTTGATGGCCAAGCAATCTGTGTATTTGTTTCTTCCATAATCTATTAAAAAAGAAAGCATTTTTAAAGAATTAAGTTATTATTTTTCTCCTGCAAAAGCATACGTTCATTTTCTGAAAATATGATGATTACCATTTTTAAAACTGTTAAATATTATTACTTTTAAATAGCACAAGCCATTAACTGCTTCTCTGGTTTTCTTGACAACTTTTGTCTGTTAATAAGCATGGCTGAGTTCTGATCATTCAAAAGAATTCCACAGAGCAAACCCAAAATGCTCAGCAGCTTCCATGAAGTTCAAATGACCACTAATAGCTACAGCAGACTCCACATCCATCTCTGAGGGAATTTCAAACCTTTACAATTCAACACAAATATTTCTTCAGTTACCTTAAAATGGTTCTTAAGTAAAGCCTATCAAATTTAAATTGAATCTTTTTGAGTCTCCATAAGTCAAAATATATTGGTCTGCCTCACTTTGACCCAAAAGCAGCTTTTCATTATAAGCTTATCCAGACTCCAGAATTTTTACTTCTCAGTTTAGCAGGTCAGAGCAGATATTTGACAGCATTTATTTATTATGACACAGTGTGTAATCTATCTGTACATCTCCAACCAGCCAACAGGGAAAACCTATGCACACACTCTCACACTGTGAAAAGCATGCAGTCATTTAGCTCAGTGTCAGCTCTCATTCTGCTGCTGCCTTTGGCTCAGTGAAAATTCCACCAGCCCTATTACAGGCAGATTATACTGAAATTTCATCTTGGCACAGAGCTACAGAGCTTCACCAACCCACTTAGTTGTAACCCAGGAGAAGGAACTGCTTGACACCAAGGACTTCAGATAGAAGAATGGAAATGCAGCTCCTAGAAATGCTGGGCATGTCTACTGAGACTCAAGGACTTCTCTTTTATACCAAGGTCTCATCAACAAGCATGGTGAGCTCATACCCTCATCATACTCATGATGGAATGAGAACAATTTACATGTCAAAATAATTAGCAAAGCCACTTCCAAGAAAAAAAGTAATGTATTAAGAAAACAGCTACAATACCAGTAAAGTTTTCCATAACAGTCTAATTCAGAATTAGGGCAGATTTCTCTAACAGTTCCTAATTCTTATCTTCTACATCCAAATCCCAAGGACACCACAACAACTTCCAGATTAGCATGCCCATGTGGAAAAACAAAGCGTCAGCCAGACTTCATTATACTATATTTTTGGTTTCAGCACTATTGGATAATAAGTTACAGCTGAAATAAAACATTTCCAGGAGGGTGAAATTCTACCAGCAACATACATATACTTTTCACCATTTTTCAATCCAGATGTGAAAAAAGCTGTTTCAAAGAAGTCACTTGTCTCTGATAAAAGGCTTTCGGAGAGGATTTTTTTTAAATTGGGCAACAGGCAGAGAAATACACAGAAAATTGCAAGGCACTGTCTAAAAGGAAAAGGGAGATGCTAAAACAAAGAATGGTGCAGGACTGAGTTATAGAAGATCCAACATGAAAGGAACCACAAGACAGGAGACAGAAGAAGAATGCATGTCATTCAAGGCAAGTGTTACATCCCATCAGTCCTTTACCCTTTCAATAAAGGTTGGAGACTTCTGTCTTGGAGAAATTAAATCCTCCCCATTACTTATGCTAAACTAAAATAAAATGAAAGCCCACAACTTCACAGCTGCACATTCTGGGGACATATGAGAAAGATGCATGTAAGATCTTCAAAGGAAAAGCAGTCTGACTGCCAGCCACTGAGATTTGGCCATCTACTCTCCTTAAGCTCTTCGTAATGTTAAAAATTGCCACATTAGACCAAAAAAGATAACTCAGTTTGGTCCCTACAAAGACAAGTTTATCTCCTATCCTAGAAAGGCAAAAAAAAAGTCAGGATGCACTTAAATGAAGTACATTTACTGAAGTATCAAAATGCTTAGTCTGTGCTGGCTTTTCAACTCCAGGCTGTAATGTTACGATAAACCAGGACTTTCCTAAGAACACTTAAAAAATTAAACTACATTGCTTACTTCTTAAACTATCGTTGTATTTAAGTTACTACTTACATATTGTATTTATTATAACAGCAGAGTGTCACAAAGCTCTGGAAAACTTGGAACTGACTTTTTATGAGAGCAGTTAAACTTGAAAGTAAAGATGATATTGAAGATCATAGATGAGATTGAAGACTGCATAGATCACTGTTGCACCAACTTTTTGTTTCAGCTTTACCATTCAAACACAGGCAATTTTAAGTGACAAGATTTTATTTTTTCCCTGAAAATCTGGAATAATTCCATGACAACCTCAAGTGCATGTTGCAATGGAACTGCTTCATTAGTGAAATCAGTATTATGCCACACACCCTGAGAACAGGGGCTCTGCTCTCACATGAAGAAGAGAACTCAAGTGCTCCAGCTATAATACATGCATTCCAATTGTATAAATACTGGAGCTACATAACATTCAGAGGAAATTCAGCCTAGGGATGACTCAGAGTTCATGATCTCTGCAGAACAGCACCTCTGCCATAGTTTCCCTCATGTCCACACAAAATAAGTGATAGAGTGAGTACTAATCAGTGCTCTCCTTGCCTTGAGGGATCAACTGACCAAAGGGATCAGGCATATCAGTCAGCAAGGTTTAATCCCCAAAAAATAACCTCATGCTTCTTCTCAAAATGAAGGAAAACCTAAGAATATGGTCTTTCTACAACTTTCCTTCCTCCCTTTGCCCAAGTGTAATTGTAGTATTTACAAGCCAAAATATGTAAGCTATTCTCAGTGGAGAAAAAAAAGAAGAGGACAAAGACACTGGAAGACACCAACAAAACAAATCAGACTGTACTCTGACCCTGAAAAAATTGGCTCTAGCTGCATATCATTGGGCCTTCAAGGAAAAAAAAGTCTAACTGTAAGGCAGCTGGAAGAGAAGCTTTTGGCTTCCTTGTATTCCAGCTTGAAAAGTTTATAGTTTGAGCACTTTGGGGAGTTTTTACATTAAGACAGTAAGAAATTATTTTTTCTTATGCTGTATTTTTTGTTTAGCTGATTTTGGATAGAAACTGGAATGTCCTGAATGCAACAAAACCAACCAAACAAAACTCCCCCAAAGCCCACAAGTATTTCAGAATTCAAAGGAAGTATTTTACACACAGCGGATGAACAAGAACAACATATATAACAGACCTGTCTTCATTTAAAGCAGGCACATTAAATCAAAGTATTATTCTTTATAGTTAGTGTTGGTAAGATACCTATTTCTGACCCTCCCACCTTTGGGATTTGGGCATCTTGGCCTTTTCTGCCTCAGGAATTAATCACAGTGAAAGGAAAATGGGTCAGACAGGAATCTGCATCTACTTGTGGGTCTCTGCAGTTACCCAGTCTGAATTCCTTCCCCAGTTAAATGAAATTCTTTTTCCAGGCAAGTGAGGAAAAGAACAAAATTAAATGAGTTTGGACTTCAATACCATGTGGGAAAGTAACTCTGAGACAATCTCACTTTACACCATGAAGATGTTATGCCTAGTCTTGGAATACTTGGTTTCACGGACTTTCAGTGTTCATCTTGCATCTTCAGCTTTCAGAAAAGTTGTCTCAGTCCCCTCAGTTTGCATGCATTTACAGCTGTATAAACAAGTTTATTCTTATTGTTTATTTCAATCATGGAATATAACTTAGATGAAAATTAAAGGAAAATATATTTCCATATGACAAGACCTGAAGAGTCACAGCAGACATGTGAAATTCTGCATGGGGTGGTGCTTAGCTCTATCTCTTGCAGTGCACAAGAGGTAATGCAGCACAATCTGAGAGGATGACTAATCCCTGAACATGGCTTTTGGCAGCAAGAACACAGCAATGGCTGGAGCTGGAAACAGAATTATTACATTTAATGGTTTGTTGTTTTTTTTTTTGTTTGGGGGGAGGAGAAAGCAAGGGAAGAACAAGGATGGGAAGGAAGAACGAGACTCCAAAGAGGTTTGTGTGAAGTTACCCATTGGGAATTCAAACTCCAAAACTGGTGAGGCCAGAGAAAGCACTTGCATTGCCAGAGCACATCAGCAGGGCAGCATCAAGGATTACTGGTTTGGTGAGGAAATTTGAGGAATATAAGGAGTTGAAAATGAGATTACAAAACTTGGCCCAAAGCCTGGTGCAAGTATACAGCTCTTGTGGAAGTCTGGCCAACATTTTGGGTACAGCAATGGATTTGCATCCCAAGCCCTGTGGTGGTTTCTTTCCCCCTGAGGTGATCTACATAAGAAATTCCAATCAAGAATTCACAGTTTGTCACAGCCACTACTCAAAGTTGGAGAGTACAGCCTGACCCCTGTGTAAGCACCAATTCTGCAGGTAAGGAGGAGGGGCTGTTCCTGAGAAGCAGCAATGGCACACAGCCCCAGGCACCCCACATCCCAGATTATACTGTCCAGAGCTTCCAGTTTGTGCTCCTGTGCGGCAAAAAACCCATCTCCTATGCAGAGAACCAGAATTAAAACCATAAAATACAGAAAGTGCTTAGTAAGTTTGCTGTGACTGCAGTCTGTCAGTACTGACAGCACACATGGTAGGTGCCATCTGTTTAAAATACACAACCAAAGGAGGCACAGGGAGGACAAGGATCAAACTCCACTTGTGTGTCTGTACAGAAAGGAACAGTAGGACAACAGAGCCTTCCCACACACAAGGACATGAGTGCCTGTGTGTCCTCAAGGGCAGGGCTCCTCATTTTCCCATTTTATAGCCTGACTGTCAGAAACCCAGACACATTTTCAGAAAAGGACTGCTTGGCTAGTCCTCCTTCCCTAGTTTTACTTGTCTTGGAAAAAGGTAATATGTAAATTATTTTAGACATGACTGTCTGGAATAAGCAGCATGGATAAGGATCAATACTGCCATATGCTTTTGTTCATGCTTCCACTGCAAGTCATTTGCTTCAATACTGCAGGGAATTGATATTCACCTACTCACTTGTCCATCTCTGTTAAACTGATTTTTATTTCAAGTTTTTATTAAATGCTAAAATAATTA